AAAGGTTGTAGGACCCGAAAAAGAATGACGAATGGGAAGGTAAGGGTCATGAATACTGTCGTGCTTGTTGGCAGAGCAGGGGAGAGCGAGTAGGGTAACCTTCATCACCATTAATAGCTGACAAGTTTCGAGAACGTTTACATATGGCAAAAATATTTCAGGCAAAGTTTCAGGAAAAAACCGCAATGGCATTACGTGGTCATTCAGTGACCGCGCAGACGATTCGCTATCATGGACCTAGTATTCGCCAATCCTTATTACACTACCCAAACTGCCATGAACTGCGGCTATCTTATGAAGAAGGCCGAACTAAGAAATTTATTCGCAGCTCTTCATCTTTTATTTTACCAGACGAATAGTGATGTGAATACACGCTAAACTATTTGCCAAGCACTTCAACTTTTGTTTGGACGATACTGAAGTATAGCTTTTTGAATTGAATTTACGTTCGTTACTAGAAGGAAACATGACCATATAAGACTCACTAATGCATCCAATTCCTTTGAGGAAACCATGTTGTGTTCCGTCACAAAAAAATAGAAATGCTTGTACAATGTGTTAACGTGCGGTTCCTGAAAAGCTTTTGTAACATCTTTACACACAATGTTCTACAACAGAGCAACATTTTTACACACGATTGCTTACAACGCAGTGAGCGCTGAAAGATCCTGTGAAGTCGATGGAACGAAAAACTGACAAAAAAAAGTAGAAAAAAAAGAGATAGCGAAATTGATGATTCAATAGAAGCACTCACCGCACCAATGCTGACTAAGCGGTCAAAGTGGTGAATGTATACGTGGACGAAAACACGAAAAAGGCGGGTGAGTATCTTTTTGCAGATCTGACGGAAGTCCTTCGGAAATGGTACACCTGAGAAACAAGAAAATTTCTACCAAGAAGCAAAGCATCAAACTTCCAGAGGCAGAGGCAAGCTTTCAAGGAAGATGCCACGGAAAGTGGGTTATCAAATCAAACGGGTTTTAAAAGAAAACAACGTAAAAAGACACACTAGTCGATGTCGGGAAAATGGCCTCATCGTTGATTCTGAGTTCGATCCAGTCCATCAGCAACACCATATAATCGGGTGCAGACAGTCGAGTCGGCTTTTTATATTCAGCACCATCTTGCCACAAATACTCATATCTGTAAAGCCCTTTTGGAATTCCCAAAACAGCAACACTATTCCCAAAATCGGTTTTCATGTAAACCAAGGACAACCTAAGCAAAAAAAGTTAAGCAAACTTAGTATGAGAGAATAGATCCCCTTCAAAACAAAGCCACAGCTGAACTAACTTTGATCCGCCAGACATCGTTGGGCACGATTCCTTAGTGCATGCGTCCGAAATTGTACCGTACATCAAATTTATACGATTGAAAAAGTCCACAGCTAAATAGAATCATCATGTTTGTCGTTATGGCACTAAAACGTAATGCATGCGATATTTTGTGAACACTCTGCATAATTTTGGAGCCGAAAAAAGCCGAATCGGAAACTCATTTATACTATGATCAACATAGCGCCAGGACAACAACATGGTCAAGAGAACTTCGAGGGTTTTTAATTTTCTAAGCTCTTTTTAAATACACAGCAATGTCGTACACCTCAAGAAGATATACTGCAACTGCCCAGAATAACTTTGAGGCAAAGATTTCAAATGTTGGGATAGTTTGGTCTTGAACAGAGCGAGAATAAAGCAGAATTGAAAAGTCGGCCAGGGGAGGAAATGATGGAACATACATGGGCAGTCGCCAGCCCACAAGAAAAGTCTATAGCATGGCTTTCGAAGGACTGTGGAACACCGATGTGCCACCATTCCAATTCTAATGTCAACCAGGATTTCACGGGCCATCCACACAGGAAGGGACTTTGACGCAATAATTCGTGCCGCTTACAGTAATGCCAAATTCGCTAAGGAAGGAAACTACGGGTAGGCGTGAAGGCGATAGCAAAACGGTCCAAGCACCCTGTAAATGTCTTCCTCGTAAAAACCGCACCAACTGCCAACCTTTCCCTTTTCTCGGAATAGGCCCACATCCATTACCTTTTATGAAAACTTACCAGATACATCTTGAATCATAGTTTCTCAGATTAATTGACAAGAACAGCAGCACTCACTTATGAACAGCATACAATCATCCAGATTTCGATTGGCCGTAATCTTATCTGCCTGTGCAGATCACACCAGAGTGCAGAGTAGCCTCAGCTCTCTTGTGTAAATTATACCTCATTGTCCCTTGAGGAAATCTTTTCTTCGGCCGAAAAGTCTGAAACGTACTTCATTTATGTTGGAACTCACAAAAATGAAACAAGGAACTAGATTTCAGTTGTGACAATCACCTGATCTTTGTACTTTAGCAGGAACTCCAATAAACCAAGCACATCGTGAAGACGACGCATTATGCAAACCCAACCGTAATTCACTTTTTGTTAAGGCGAATATGATTGCGATGATGAAAAAAAAAATCGCCGTTTTCAGAGCAAAACTTGTTTGTGTGAGAAATTAACCTCAGCAAATTGGAAATGATAACATAATATTTTGAGCATATCTACTCGTATTGCAAATAGCACTATGTGTAATGAATCTTTACTTCGTCATGCTTTTTCAAAGAAACAATAGCAAAGCCAAAAGTATACTGGAAACTAGCCTTTTGTTTATTCACTTGTAGGAAGTCAAAATAGGCTGGCCATACTCCGAGTTAGTAGTGGTTACGATTCTCTGGCGATCAGGCTGTTACCGAGATGATGGGCAAGAACCCCATTAAACAATGGGCGAAGGCGAGTGTCGTGCCGAAAGCACGTAACTGAACGAAGAACAGCTGACGCCGTCGACCGTAGCTGCAGATTCTGCACACGACCACACGTCTGACGAGAGTTCGGCACCGGAAATCGGATACTTTCAAATGCCGGCGAGACAGATGAGTAGCTATTGATTCCGCGAAAAGTACTGTGGAGTGTATGAGAAGGAAATACGGATTCCAAGGAAAGGACCAATTATACCCAACGCAAAGCATTTTCATCTCACCGCGATGTTCTTTGATAGCTATGTATTGGGGAAATGGGTATGGACATTAAATGACTGTGAATAGGTTCACCCGCCAAAACATTTCTATGTATAAGTGAAATTAGTAATGTCTGAATAGCACTAATGTTCCATGTAGTATAAAGGGGGGGGGTCGGTCCACTAATGACAGAAAGCGAACTTTCTGACTTTCGCACGCAGCAGCTTTTCGCCAACAAGAGCCAGTGCACCCATGGTCACCCTGGGCATGAGGGTACCCACGTGTGCGAAAAAGGAAAAATCGCTTTCTGTCTAGTGAACACATCAAAAGGGGGGACGCCGTTCAGTTTTTAAAAATGCCAGAAAATCACTTATTCTTTTAGAAGTATTTCAAACCATAAGCCAATTAACTGCTTGTACCCGCCTCTGTTGTCCTCATACAGAAGAATGCACTAAAAAACCGCTCGTTGTGTTTTGCATTCAATCAATTAGCGTTCTCCGGCAACTCGGGCGCTCCCATTGATCCCTGTTGCCCTGTGATTGCGTGGAAGCCGCACTTTCTGTCCCTCCCTAGAACCCTTTCTGGTTCTTGGTTTGTCTTCCTAGTGTTATATTGAGCTGCTTTTCGAACCAAGACTATCCCTCGACCGTGCATTGTGTGCTCAAATTTAGAATAAGGCGACCAGAGACCATCTGTAAGGTTGGCCTCGTTCCGGCGAGCGGTGGAAAACAGCTCGAGAATAGGTCGTCGATAGTGCCGTCAGCCCCTTATCGGGATGCTATTTACACGCAGGGGTTTTCTCAGTGGGTGTGGCGTTGGCTGACGGCCAGCAAAAGCAGGCGCTGCACGCGCTCTGGGGCTGGCACCATCCGCGAAGCTCGTGCTCTCTCATCACAGCCGAAGCTCGTCGTTCCTATCGCACGCTCTGGCTATGAGCTACGAGCAGCTGTGATGAATTTTAGGCCAGCATTCTCTCATTTGAATCCATTTTTACTCGACTGTTGCTCTTTAATGTACTGAATATCGGGTAGTTGGGCCCACTGTTCTCCCATCGGTCCCTTTAAACCCCTCTATTGGTCCTCGGGCTAACGTTACCCTGTATTTTGCAGCATGCTGCAGTCACTATTACCTACCGTCCTTTCCCTTTTCCCTGCAAAGAACGACCACGTCGATGTTGCATTCAAAGGGCAATATTTGTCCTTGGGTTCACGATCCACCGTGGCTCCGGGCTAAGTGACGTCATAGCCTTCACAAGGATGACTCAGCGTCTCGTAGGCTCTTTCTAACCTCGTCGATTTCGTAATGTTAGGTGGTTTCCGTGGTTATAAAGCCGAATGGCTGTGGTCAGAGCGCAATTACTCCTCATACTTTCCGTCATAGCAACGTCGTAGTACTAGCTTGGGTTTTCTAAATGGGCGCTATCGCAAAAGACGGGGCATTGTTGTGGCAGTGCATTCAAACACATGAAACATATCCTTTCTTTAGAAACGGGGCTGAGTCCTAGGCGGGGGGAGAATCCATGGTGCGGGGCAATTTTATCGTCTCCGAAGTTCCTGCACCCTCCTAGCTTTAGTCCTAGACTGGAGGATGCCCCATGTCTTGCGATAGCGCCTCTGAACGTTTCCGAGTTGAGAACCCCCAGAGCACGGTAAGCTCGCTTTTGACTTCTCTGTTGTATCTGCAGAAACAATTCTCCCTACACATCTCCTCTTATTTCTATTTATTCGAATTTTAGTCGTTCTTTTATTTTTCGTCATCTGCAAACACTCGTTGCGCCCTACTCTTCCATGTGTCTTCTTAATTGACCACTAACCCAAGGTTTACCGTCCGTTGTGCCGAACAAAAGTGGGACCCCTCCCTTACTGAGGATTACCTCTCACACCCTTGGAGGGATCCCCAACAGATCCCTCCCTCTCAGCACTATCCACCACCACCTCACCACTATAATGCCTTTAATCGTATTTGATTTTCACCAGATGACTTATTCCCTCTAAATTCGATTAAGCTCTGAATGTTCTCCAAAACTGCGGAAAAGTGTGAATAATTTCTTCAATTTTATGCACAGCTCAAAAAATTAAGCAATATAACCTCAATCCGAAAACGACCTCTTTTGCTACAAGCACGGCGCCTTCAACTTCCATCACCACGATCCCTTTTATCTCCAAATACAACCCCTTAAAGTCGCAATCGCCAAAAATCACAATTACGACCCCCTTCCCTCTAGAAATAGCCAGTGCTCCCGTTTACATATTTCGACACAAGGTCGGTTGACTGTACCTGTGCCAACTGCTATCTTGGAAAATGTTCATTTTAGAATCACAATGTCAAACCTGATACTTTTGAAATGTCCTAGGTCATTCATCAGGCGTGTTTGGTTCCCGAACACTGTGTCCATGCCTTCTTCCATGAAAGAATGCATCCCATCCAACAATTTCGTGGCTGCAGATGATGCACTGGCTAATAACGGGTTATTTCCGCCCGAACCGTGAGGAATAGTATTCTGCCCAACCCAGGCCTGCCATTCATTTCCTTGTCGTTGAGTGCTTGGTACCAAACTTATCGATGTACAGAATATACTGACGATTGATGCCCATAAGTCCTGCACTACGCGCATTTATATCGCACTCGATTCGAATAAAAACGAACGCGTCGCCATCCATTCACTTAGATTTGACAGGAAGTGCCCACTCGTAGATTATTCAGCTTCAGTCCAATTTTAGTGGATAGTTGCAGTACGTCGTACTGTCTTATAATATTAGAGTTGGAACGTCCGATCAAGGTTTCTGCCCAACCCTGGCGTGCTTCTGGACTTTTGAATTATGCCACAGCTCTTCCGTCTCAATACTTAAGAAAAAAACTTCACGCGAATTTTCTACTATACTAGGTTACCCTTCCTATTACCTGTCGTTCATTTTATTCTGTCGTCGGTTTTAGCTCTGTAGAGCACTAATGCGAACAACTGTCATTGCAGCAACTCCCTTGGAATAGCTCTAATTACATTTTCCTCTGCACGGAATGTGGAACAAGTCACCCTGGCTCCCTGCTCCAATGAATCAAAATCATTGGCCTCTCATGCAGTCAGGGGCATATGTGCAACAGTTGCTGCTGCCTACAGAAATTCCAGTTCTTGCAAGTGAGCGCAGTCCCCGAGGTGCTTGAGCTGTCTCGCATCTGCTTTTACGCCCACCGCTGAGCTTCCTTCTCTTGTCAAAGTTGGTTTACCTCAAGTGACCGAACTGTCGCATGACAGCCATCCTCTGCCGCACCTCCTCATTGCTGGGTGAGCTCCTAAAATTAACCCCTCAATCCGCCCGTGCACTTAGATGCTCGTACATTTCCAATTACAAGAGCATAGTGGGAAGAAAACAGAATTCTCAAACGCATAGCAACAAAATCCCCCATCCCCCATCGCTTCCCAATAATACGACTACTGCCTTTATAGGCTGGATTGAATGGATGTGACAGGCGGTGCATGGCTGTTCTCTCCTACATCTACTTTCATAGGGCATCAGAAGCATCAAAGATCCGTCCGCATTTTGTGATTTTGACGGGACGCTCAGCAATGCCATGAAACAGATGTTTGTTGGAATTCAATAATTTCCACAAATAAAAGACTGCTGAGAGGTCGATACTTCCACAAACTACATGAGCTAGCACGCAGTATAAACGTTCCAAAGCTTTACCCCTATCCTATTCCCTACAGGTGGGAAAGAAAAGATTCTTGAATTTTTTTTAAAGATCACTTCATTAATTCCGCCACTGTTGCTTCAACACACATACCCTCCCCTTCAGAAAAGCGAGAAAATGTAGAGGTGCAGACCATGCACCACAATTGACGACGGCCTTCACAATGTCAATGTTTTCTGCCAATGAAATGATTAGCCTGTTGCAGTTGTATTCTATCGATTGTCACTAATTACAAACATCATTTACCAGAAACACTATCACTGGAACAACTTCAACAATACTTGAAGCCGTCTCAGCTGTGGTGTTGTGTTCGTGCCACCCGACATGTCTCGCTTTTGATGGTGGGGGGGGGAGTACATACATGACAAAGTACATGTATGTACAATTTGGGCTATTTTTCCTAATGATAAAAGAGATTCAAAGGGTTTTCACGTCCCCCTGGCCTAGGGGAATTATAGGATACCGCCCCTGGTGCAGTACTAGTCCCACCAGCAAATGTTGTGCTAACCTGCTATCACTGATTAATGAAGAAGTAAAAAATGGTCTACTATTTCATTCAAGACGCTATAAAAGAGGTAATATATGTGCATATGCACGCAGAATTTTAGCCATGCTGGCCAAAAGGTATTAAAAACGGCCTTGGTTATACTATCTGTTGGTAAGCAGTCCCCTGGTATAAAACTGAGCGCCGGCCTCTCGGCGACAGCGCCG